AAAAAAAAAAAAAAAAAAAAAAAAAAAAAAAAAAAAAAAAAAAAAAAAAAAAAAAAAAGAATTAATCGATTGTCCGTTTACTAGCTTATCTGTTTAGAGGCGAATACAACTACTGGTACAAACAACGGGAAGATAAAATATATTTGATAACATTTTTTAGTCAAACGCAGTAAAAATTGAAACTGTTTTTTAATAGTTGGATGTTTTAAAAATTTTATGATTTGTTTGCGAATTATTTTTTGTAATATTTTGTGCAGGAATAAAACTTTTGTGTTAATACAGTTACTTGGATATCGCTACTAGTTTTCTGCATAAAAATCCTACATTGAATATAAATTGATAAAAAAATACGTAGGTAAGTTCGTTAGTATCAACGTGATAGAAAAAGTCAAATATTCTAAATGTTAGTTATATAAATGATATGGGAATCATAACACAAAACTTTGCTTATAATTTAATTTAAATTTAAAATACACATTTTTATAAAAACTCATGAGCTAAAGACGAATGTAATAAATTCCTACTGCAGTACCTACATGGGTTCAGTGAAGCCGGTGCAGATTGCAGAAATGTTTTATGGTGTGGAAATATTAATGTTAATATTTTATGGCAGCTACAGATGTATACAAAAATTGTTTGTTTCGAGCTAGATTCAGAGAATAATTCATAACAATTTAGCTTGTAAGATTAAAATGACATCAAGTTGGGTAGTAGTAAACGAAAGTTCAGTTTTATCGAGCTTAAAGGTAAAAACTAAGAAGGTAGAGAGACAAATGTACTGCAGACGCTATTCATACATGTTGATTAAAAAAGTTAAAAAAATCTCACCTTCGTTGTTTTGATGATCAAGATTACATCCAATATCTTCAAGCAATTCAATCTTTCTTTCTAATTCGTTCTGCCAATTAATTTTTTCATTTAGAAATTTAAATGCCAAGGCAATGAAATGGATAAAATTGAGACCATTTTCATCCACAGTACTTAAATATGGTACCGAACTAATTAATGACTGAAAAATGTTTTCAGAAACATTAAATGTAAGCCTTTCCACGATATACATTCTAGATACCACAGTAAGGTTTTTCACAGTAGATTGATATTTAAAAATTTCTAACATGTGATTACTGTTCACATTTTTATTTTCGATAAGACAATCGAGAATACTCTTTTTAAATATGTTTACAGCCGCCAAGTCGAACTTTGTTTCTGGCCTAAAAAGAAAAAAATATTTAAGAACCTAAAATAATTGCGTCCTGGTTCAAAAAAAGTTAACACTACACAATAATACCATAGAATGTATCAAAGCTTTTTTAAGAGATTTATCAAACCTAAATTTTTTTTTAAGCCTCTCTACATTATTATTTACTTTGTTTTGTACAGGGGTTTAATTTATACTACTTTTTTTGTGAACCTGTCTAACGGAACTTGATTATCATTTAGTATAATCGAATTTGAAAAGTTAAAATAATAAATAAATAAATTTAAAAAAAAATTCTAATTCGATGATGATTATCAAGTGCCAAAAGTCTTGATAAAAGTGTGTTCGAGACCTTCTTAGAATTCTGAAAAACATTACCTTACTTTTTTTTAATAACCCGATATCTTCAAGCGCAATTAAAAAATAGTCATGATTTTTGTGATCGTATCAAGTTTGAGGCTCTATTCAACGTATTCAGTAATAAAAAGGCGAGACCAACTTGAAAACGATTTTCTTTTCTTAATCTACAAAATTTTGTAAGAAATCACTCGTTACGAAATATAGCGATGTTTTTTTGGCACAAAGTAGTTCATTTATTCATAACTTTTTCCCAACTTTCAATTATCAAATCTATATAAATAAATTGCAATACAGGATTGTTTATCATGAAAATTTGTTTAATTTTTGCTTGCATTGTAGAGATGTAAGACTGTCATCCTTAGTCCTTAAAAAGTCTTGTGCCAAGAATATCGGTAAGTTTAATGAAAAATACAAACAAGGCTGTTTTTAGATGCTCATGTAGACAAATATTTTCTCTTTCGAACGAACTAAAATTAAAATAAAACAATTATGGGGAAAAAAAGGTGGTTGCAACAAAAGTATAAGGGATCAGATCTGAACAAAAGCGAGCAATCGCGGCAATTAGACAACAAAAAAAATACCGTCCCTCATGTATACCAAAAGGTTTACCCACCACGGGTTTTAAAAATATAAAAACTATTTATTGAATAATCACAAACATTTAATAAGAGCATTAGAATACAAAAGTACAAATAAAATGTTTTTTTTTTATATACATTGTTAAAAAAATATGTATACTTGCTTACACAAACAGATACGTATAAATTATAATTCAACTCGTCACAGTCAGTTTCACAAAGATCACATTTTTTCCATTTTAATCACTAGGGGAATGATTACTGATGTAAAGTCAAGGTAATGATTATTTTATAGTCCTCACAGCTCTTCTGCGTTGCAATTTGAACAAAGGAAGCCAATTCGGAAACTTTTGCTCCAAGTCATAAGATTTGAGAAACTCAATAATGGCACTGCGCTGAGACTCCAGCATCGTAGAAAAATTTTGTACCATTTGTTCCGTGAGAACATCGCGCAGGGAAAATGATTCGCTAATGGGCACATTTTCCATTTCTTCCAATTCATTCGACAATCCATGCAAAACCGTTTCGTCCGTACAATATTCCTTGTGTAAAGAATTAACGTGCAAACGAGCAGCTTTAAGCCTGTACAAATGATCGTCGAACAAGTCTGATTGAGTTGTTTTGGCAACAGTAATCGGGGTGTTGTTACTCTTGTCACTGATATTGACAAAAAAAAAAAATGAGTAACGCAGTTAATCATGAAAATAACGTTACATAAACGTGTAAGGCGATAGCAAGCAACTGTTTGTCGTAAGATATAACGTTGTCGTCGTTTTTAATAATAGTGGCAATAATATGTATTGAAAAAATAAGCTTTTATCGAGAATTTAAGCGGATAAAAATGTGATTAAATGTAAAGAAAAAAACTCGCTGAAAAGAGTTTAATTCGTGAATTTAAGTAGAATTGAAAAATATGTATTGATAACCGTAGATACGTTCAATCACTGCCATGTTGTACATAAATTGTGTACAAATGGACAAATGGAATTTATCGACATTCTATTTGCATATTTGTACATGCATATCACGCTCATAATTTTTTTGTTGGATCAGAAAAAAAAAGAAAAATTTCAGTGTTTGCGGCGTATCAATATATATAAAAAAACAATCAAATACGAGTGGAAAAAATGTTACATGTAAACTATAATTATGCATATGCAATAATAAAATATTAAAATTCAAAGCTCGCCAAAAAAGAAAATAGTTTGCGGGAAGTTCTATTACAGTAATTATTAAAGATATATTTTTTTTCTGGATAATCAGTAAGATATACTCCTCATAGTNAAAAAGAAAAAAAAAAAAAAAAAAAAAAAAGAATTAATCGATTGTCCGTTTACTAGCTTATCTGTTTAGAGGCGAATACAACTACTGGTACAAACAACGGGAAGATAAAATATATTTGATAACATTTTTTAGTCAAACGCAGTAAAAATTGAAACTGTTTTTTAATAGTTGGATGTTTTAAAAATTTTATGATTTGTTTGCGAATTATTTTTTGTAATATTTTGTGCAGGAATAAAACTTTTGTGTTAATACAGTTACTTGGATATCGCTACTAGTTTTCTGCATAAAAATCCTACATTGAATATAAATTGATAAAAAAATACGTAGGTAAGTTCGTTAGTATCAACGTGATAGAAAAAGTCAAATATTCTAAATGTTAGTTATATAAATGATATGGGAATCATAACACAAAACTTTGCTTATAATTTAATTTAAATTTAAAATACACATTTTTATAAAAACTCATGAGCTAAAGACGAATGTAATAAATTCCTACTGCAGTACCTACATGGGTTCAGTGAAGCCGGTGCAGATTGCAGAAATGTTTTATGGTGTGGAAATATTAATGTTAATATTTTATGGCAGCTACAGATGTATACAAAAATTGTTTGTTTCGAGCTAGATTCAGAGAATAATTCATAACAATTTAGCTTGTAAGATTAAAATGACATCAAGTTGGGTAGTAGTAAACGAAAGTTCAGTTTTATCGAGCTTAAAGGTAAAAACTAAGAAGGTAGAGAGACAAATGTACTGCAGACGCTATTCATACATGTTGATTAAAAAAGTTAAAAAAATCTCACCTTCGTTGTTTTGATGATCAAGATTACATCCAATATCTTCAAGCAATTCAATCTTTCTTTCTAATTCGTTCTGCCAATTAATTTTTTCATTTAGAAATTTAAATGCCAAGGCAATGAAATGGATAAAATTGAGACCATTTTCATCCACAGTACTTAAATATGGTACCGAACTAATTAATGACTGAAAAATGTTTTCAGAAACATTAAATGTAAGCCTTTCCACGATATACATTCTAGATACCACAGTAAGGTTTTTCACAGTAGATTGATATTTAAAAATTTCTAACATGTGATTACTGTTCACATTTTTATTTTCGATAAGACAATCGAGAATACTCTTTTTAAATATGTTTACAGCCGCCAAGTCGAACTTTGTTTCTGGCCTAAAAAGAAAAAAATATTTAAGAACCTAAAATAATTGCGTCCTGGTTCAAAAAAAGTTAACACTACACAATAATACCATAGAATGTATCAAAGCTTTTTTAAGAGATTTATCAAACCTAAATTTTTTTTTAAGCCTCTCTACATTATTATTTACTTTGTTTTGTACAGGGGTTTAATTTATACTACTTTTTTTGTGAACCTGTCTAACGGAACTTGATTATCATTTAGTATAATATAAAAGTATTCATGGTATTTTTATCACAAAGAAATTTGTCTCTCAATATGGCAATAAATTGTAAATTTACTACTAAATTAATAAACCAAAAAGATTGATTATATCGTGAAATCATACTTATAAAATCGTCATACCTCAAAAGCAGATGTAATAAATCAGGACTCGTTGATGCAGCCAAATGCAACACAGTATTGCCATCTTTGTTTTCACATTCAACGTAGGCTCCGTATTTTAGCAACATTTCTATCACATTTTGACGTTTATATTTGACGGCAAAGTGCAGCGGATAGAAACCAGCATCGCGAAGAGCAAAATTATCGTTTGGTTCATTAATGTCAATACCCAAGTTCAAGAATTTTTCAACGATTTCAGCATCATCAGTCATACAGCTAATGTGGAAAGCTGTTAACTCTTCTAGATTGACGGCAAGTTCATCTTTTTGCAATGCCAAGATCTTTTGGCGTTTGGTTGGATCTGCGAAATAAAATATAATTTCATTCATAAAAATTCCAAATAGATGTACACATTATTTAACTCTACATTATTCAAGAGCAAAATGTTAACGTCTCCAAGATGCATAAGAATAAAGACTTAATTTGCTAACATTGTATTACCATTCGACAAATGATCATCTGTAAGTGCGGTTTCGTAATGTCTGAGGATATATTTGAGCAATAACTTGATGGCATTATCGTCTTCTGGATATCCATTTTCTATCAATACGTACAAGGGCGCATAGCCCGGCATCACTGCAGAGTCGACGTTTATTCGATTGTTCGGTTTATCTCCAGCAATCAACAATCTTTCAATCATAGATTCGTCTCTGAGAACACACGCGACGTGCAGTTCCGTCAAACCGGTGTCATCCGACCATTTTTCTTTTTTCTCGAATTCCAGTAACAAACGAATCACTCGCAACTCGTGGCGGCAACTTGTAAGAGCTACGTGAAGTGGTTTCAGGCCACCAGCATTTTTAGCCCATACATCCGCACCGTTTTTCAAGAGCAATTCCACTACGTCCACCGAAGCGGTCCTAGTCGCCAAATGCAGGGGTGTATCTCCAACATGAACGTCACTTGGCAGCTTCTTGATGTACGTCATCAGTTTAGCCGTTATTGGTTGACTGATGTTACTCGTGAGCGGCAGCAGAGCTTGGGCTGCTGTGACATTTCCAAAGTGACAAGCCACGTGAAAGTGAGACAGTCCACCCGGGGCTACCGGATTATTCTGAAGAACATCGGGATGTTGCGTGAAACACGACTCAAGCCAGTTGTACCTCTTGCAGCTTAAAAACGCTTGGTGCACGACGGTTAGCCCGTGAGCATTAGGAATCCAAGGATTGGCGCCGTGTTCCAAAAGTAACTTGACCAAATCATCCGATTCAATGGCTACCGCAACGTGAAGAGGCGTAGAGCCAATTTCAATGCTAAAATTGCTTTCGGGGTACAAACTTGCGAACACACTTTGAACATCTGCTTGTATCGCTTGATTGGGGTTCACGCCGTGGGACAAAAATTTCTTGACAATCTTGATATTGCCCGCCACGCAAGCTATATGAAAGTGGGACAGACCATACCTGTCCTCAAGGTTGACAACGGTGTTGGCGCAAGCATAAAGAATCTCGTGGACGAAGGCTTTTTTCTTCAAGTGAAAAGCCAGGTGGAGAGCCGTCATGTTGTTCACGTCTTGCGCGGTCAAGTCTACCCCGTGCCACAGGCAAACTTCAATTCTGGAGTTGCCGCACGTCGCTCGCAACGCAACGGCCAGGTGTAATAATGAATAGCCAGGCCACAAGGGCGAATCGAGTGGAATGCGCGTGTTGACTTCGTAGCTTTTCAGATAATTGTCGAAGGTTTCGATGGAGTCGAGCTTCGAGAGAAGGGAAATCAACGCAACGCCGCTTTCGAGCCGAATGGGTTCGAATTGAATCTGCGTCTTCAGGACACGGCCAATCTCCGACGGGTTGTACTTGTCGAGGCATATACTGAGCGGAGTCGTGCCTCGGGCGTCCTCGGCCAGAAGGTTGGCTCCTCTTTCCAGGAGAAACTTCACCGTTGTGAAATTACAGTGCGCAGCAAAATGAAGTGCAGAATAGCCCGGGTAGAGCGGCGAGTCCAGGTGCAGAGCTGCATTGATGTTTACTCCGTTGTTTAGGTACTCAACCAGAGTTTCGGTGCGCAATTCGCAGGTTCTGGCGCACCAAACGTGAAAGTGGGACAAGCCAGTGTAGTCCGTGGGATTGGGCAAGTCGTCGTCCAGAGACAGCAGTTCGTCGATGATCTCCTCGTTGGCGATGCGACAGCTGTACGACTCGTACCGCGACGAGGCGTAATGAATCTGCTTCTCGATGGCGATGTGCATCGGGTTCTTCCCATCAGCGTTGAGCAACGCTTGGTCGGCGTCGTAGTTGACCAACAGAAGGAACATTTGCTTGTAGCCGTTCAACACGGCCAAGTGCAAACACGTGCACCCGGGAAAGATTTTCGAGTCAATGCCGATGGCTTCGTCCTCCGAGATGTCATCCGATTCGAAGAAGAACTGCACCGTCTCGATGTCGTTGGCCTCGCAGGCGATGTGGAGATGGGAGATTCCGTGGTCGCAGCGCGGGTTCCGTCGATTGTAGTGGTCGTAGTGGGCGGACAGTAGTAGCTTGATCATGGAGTTGTCTGGTACTTTGGTGAAAGGATTTTTCTTCCCAAGTTCGTAGGCCAAGCGCAGCGGAGTGAAGCCTTGGGCATTTTTCCGAGTGAAATCGGCACCTCGGCTCAACAGCAAGTTCATGATTGAGTTTTGATTGGCGCTCGAGCAATTTTCCACAGCGAAGTGCAAGACGTTGTAACCCTGGTGACGGTTGTGGTTGTTTGTAGAGCGGGGCACCGTATAGTTCATGTTGTAGCCGCTGTCTAAAATTTGGATAATATCAGCTTCAGTGGCAAACGACATCATTTCTGCCATTTTGGCGAGTTTTAAGTAGTGCGGGTTCATCATTTGTGGGGATGTCATGGCTCCACACTGATAAATCATTGGCTTTCTCAAATATAACTAATCTTGAATACCTGAGGGATTGAGGAAAAAAAAAGAAAAAAAATTTCATCAAACGTGGCATAAATAATCAATACATAAAAAAAATATAAGTATAAAATCAAATCGAGAAGCGGTTGAAGCTCAGTTGCTTAAGTGAGGAGCTAATTTTTGGGGTGTGGGTTGGGTTTGGCGATCAGGTCTACTGTTTTTCAAAAGATGAATCCATCACTGGGATTTGTCCTAGAGTTTTACAACTGGAGTTGGGGTAGGGTGGAAGGAGAAATACAGAAGTATAAAATATAGCCATCAGCAGAAAATCTTGTCAGTTGACCGACTACCTTCTGTCCATATCAAATGATGGCACGCACATGTAGTCCAGGTCTTAATCTGGAATTCGTTGGAGAAAATATTTGGATTCAGTTTTTTTGCATTATTTAATACAAAATTATTTCCTAAAAACGAATTGGCATGTTGCCAGGTCCAAAATCGTTTAAACAATTTTTTTCAGACGAATTTTGCACATACATTTATCTTATTAACCTAACCAAAGTTTTTATGTTTATTTTAGAACATCGTGATTTTCTCTCTAATAAGTATGGATACTGATAAAAATCAGAGGATCATATGAATCCGTAGTATTTGAAGTATCCATATATATTTTTTGTCGAATTTTTAACTATTACTAAGGTATGTTACTTTTAGGTCATAACATTGTTCCCACAACAGCCCGTGTTACTTAAATTGTTGATTTTTTATTTTGAAATATCTTAATAACTACATGGCTAAGATTACCCATACATAGAATAAAACAAAAACTAAATTAGAGCCCCTAACTATTGTCGATGATATGTATCCAACCTCCTTAAGAAATGTCTTGTTTGTTCAAGTGAAATCTGCGACATTCTTAACCTCGCTCACTAGGTACGTAATATACTATAAGAACTTTGGCAACATGCAAATTGTCGGTTTTTCAATGAAAATAGCTATTTTCGCATTTTTTATAACTTAAATAATTAGTATCCAAGAAAGTATTAACTTTAGAAAAAAGTTTGCTTATTACTTTTAACATAACTTTGAACAAAATAACTGAATCCCAGGAACCCCGTACGATTTCCACAAAGCTAAATCATATCACCAAGCTATGACGTACCTTTTAAAAGATACTCACTCCTCATTCATTAAATATGAAACTACCTGTGCAATTATCACTAACATAAAATCAGCTTTCGATCGATCATGTACTTAACGTCCAAAAATACCGAATAACACTATCCTGAAACTAGACTTCCCCATCAACCCCAGGAAATTCATATACAATCTTATTTATAACAAACAGATAACTATGTATTTGAAAATTGCTGACACCCTGACCAAACCACATAACCAGAGAATATACAATATATCTCGTTATCTGATATAACCAAAGTAATTGGGTTCTTTAAGATTCCATCTTTAGCCCTATTATGTATAACATAAATACGACAATTAAATCAATAACATAATCCCACCAAGCATAAAGGTTCTCGTATACGGTGATGATTTTGCTGCTTTTGCGGCTGTATTGGGCCTAACACTAGACTTCCAACTTAATGGGAATGAACACATCAAAACTCTGATCCCTAGAGTACTATATATGCTAGAACTAGAATAGAGATCTTTCTTAATACAAGCAAGCGACACCAAACTGATAAATAAACTCCAAATAGTACGAAACCTAGCCTTGGGGTGGATAAATGTCTTAAAAAAAAAGGAGCTTTGCAGGCTTGTGTAAAATTGTCTTATAATTTTCATTTAGACGCCTCAAATAAAAATTAAATTAACAGCTATGTATTCTAACCCACCACCTTCCGAACCATTTTCACCGAACATTTTGCATTTTGCACATACTGCATTCGACTATGCTCTTAGTTTTATTATAGGGAGACTAAATCAACGGACGACTTGTTAGACTGTACCACTGGCTAATGGTAATGAAAAAATAGGAAAAAATTACTGCGATTCACTGATTCACTGAAACTCCGCGGAATGACAATTGTTTGAATACGAGCACCAAAATTCTATTGCGTGCATTTGCGAGAGCATTTTTCGCGAATACATTGGGTTTATCGGATTTTGGGACTTCCACTATAAATGTACCCTACACGCATACACATACGCAATTTCCGTTGCATCAGCTGTAATATTTACTTTAATTGTCATCACAGTTGCACAAGTTCGCTTCTATGTAGACATGTCACAACAAGATTACAAACATAGTAAGATACAATACTCCAACATGTATGTCTAATGTTTCAAGACTAAACAGGACTTACAACTGTGCAAGACAATTTATATGTAATAAATCACCTTTTATTTCTTGGCGATCCGTCAAATGAATTTTAGAATGGTCATTAAACTATCAAATACTGGGGTCCATCAGATCAGGTAAGTACAGTACCGGCATCATTGAGAAATATTCACTTTATAAATTAATATAACTTCAAGTAGACATCCATTTTTTAAAATTTTGGTTGAGTTACAGGTACAACACTACTTATTTGCAAAATGATGTCAATTTTAAGCTGCAAGCTAATGCATTATGAGTACTTTCCAAATTTATTTGCCTTTTATCACGATGTTTACTTCTTGGTTAGGGCTTCCAGAGAGGCTTAGGGGCCGCGCACGACATAGGCAGTTAACTTAAGGTGGCTCCTCACCCCTATACAGCACGTATTTATAATATTTTATTAAAATGTTTATTGAAAGTTATAACAAGTGTCATTTAGCCTGACAATATTATAGCTAGTGCTAAACATTATGAGTACTTTCCAAATTTATTTGCCTTTTATCACGATGTTTACTTCTTGGTTAGGGCTTCCAGAGAGGCTTAGGGGCCGCGCACGACATAGGCAGTTAACTTAAGGTGGCTCCTCACCCCTATACAGCACGTATTTATAATATTTTATTAAAATGTTTATTGAAAGTTATAACAAGTGTCATTTAGCCTGACAATATTATAGCTAGTGCTAAACATCATGCGATTTTTTTCATAAAATTTTGTTGATAAATTTCTGAGATACCGAAACTTGGAAAAAATTCAACAAATTACTGTAATCTTTTTCAATTTACATCTAATATTTAATTTTTTGCGCTCATTCTCTTCCTTGAACAAATTTATCGGGAGTCACCACGGACGAAATTGCAATAACTTTGATAGGTTTCCCACAAAGTTCAGTTGTTTATATGAGAATACGAAGAATAAGTAAACAAATTAAATTT